GAGGGCGCTGCCGGCGGCGGCGGCGGCGGCGCGCGGGGGGCGTACGGCAAGGTGGCCGCGGACGACCGGGAGGCCCACGAGGTGGAGCTTAGGCCGTTCGTGGGCAAGGGCACCGACGACGAGAACGTTCGCGGGGACGAGGACTACCTGGACGAGGAGGACGGCTACCTCGCGGATGAGGGGGAAACGGAACGCAGCGCCAGCAGAAGCAGCAGCAAGAGGGGAGGGGGGGGTCAAGTTGAGTATTCCACGTTGCCCCCGGCGAGGCGTTCGTCTTCGGGGCCGCCTCGAAGGGGCGTGAGCAGTACGGGGGCGGGGGCGAGCGGCGCAGCAGCTCCGCCAGCTGCGGTTGTGGGCAAAGAGAAGATGAAGGAAGCCCCGCCGGCTAAATCTATGTTTCCTGCCGGGCACACTGTCGAGTTGTGAGGACAGGAAAGATGTCTGGCTTTTGTGCCCGCCCGTGCGTCGGTGGTCTGTGCTTCTGGCCGTGGACCTAGCCGGCCGCATGGCTGCAGCAGTATTGTACAAAGCCTTTTTTTATTTTTTTTATTTCAGATTGTTCTATCTCCATTATGCCGTCGGTCCCCGGCGCAATGTTCTAGGGCTTGCCCCTGGTAGTGCCGTACGATGGTCTCTGGGAGAGTTTCCCTCTGGAGGGGTTGGCGCTCGTTGTGCAGCGCGCGTCCTGGATGTTATACACCTGACTTGAATCCTCGTGGTGCGTTTGACGCTCATTTCCTGGGTGCGCGCTGCTGTCTTTACGGGTTAAGATTAGACTAAGCCCGAAAGCTGAGTTATCAACAGCCTGAATTCCTTGTGCCTTGAGAATAATTCTTTCGCCTTCCCATTGCCTTTTGTCTTCCTCATATAGTTTCCGGGGAGTAGTCAAATGTGTATGTATTTCCAGTATTATACTGGTAGTGCTGTAGTGCTGCTCCTCCCGCCGCCTTGAGGTGTTTGATTGATTTTATCCTCTCGGGGGGCTATGCAAGCATGATTGTGTTAGAACTCGGGGTAGATCTAGATAGAAGTCTTCGAAACGCCCGTGTGTTATGGTGGCGAGTCTGAAGATGCCGTTTATGGCTGTGAGTATCAGCGTGGTGCGATCGAGTTTTGTCGATGCTCCGAAAAACCTCAGGCGCACTCGTCTCATGTGCTTGGTGTGACCAATTGTCGACGGCTCGATTGTAAAGGCATTGGCATACGTGGCGCACAAGTCCGCTGCCTCGTCGGCGACAATTTTGATTGCGGCAAGCAACGTTTATGTCAGTTTTGTTTTCGCTTCCGTTCGGTGTCTGCAGTCCCATGACATTCGTACGGGTATACATGGAACAACGTGTAGACCGCGCCATCTTGGCTCACGGCTTGCCTTTGGCAGGACACAGAAACAAGAGCCTTGATCCTGTTGCTTACTTTTCCTCATCACGACTCCCGAGAGAGAGAAGAGGATCTGCAAAGAACTCAGAGCCTGAGGGAGGGCTTCGTCTCCGTGATATCTTCCGTAGGCGCAGCCCACATTCTGTAACTATTTGTGGTGGTCCACTCCTCTCTACTCCTGCTGTGCTGCGGTACTTGGCGTCTCAACAACAATCGCGGCCTACTGCAGCGCTACGCTCGAGAAGCCATAGGAGGACGCCGTCATGACGTGCTCCACGCAGCTTATTGCCTCACGAGAGACCACGGTGGGAGCTGGAGGGTCGACGATAGACACTGTAGAGTCTTCAAACACGAATCCCCCCTCCTCGGGGCTGTCGCTGCCGCTGACCGTTTCCGGTTTCTCGGCCGGGTCGGGTTCCGGTGCCGGAGGCCCCTCAGGCTCACGGAAAGGGGGCAGGGTGTTGGTGAACTCTGCTCCGGGGAGGTGCTTGTGGAAGACCTAACGGGGTGGTGTAAGTTGCGCTTTCAGAGATGTAGGTGGGAATTTATGCATGGTTCGATGTTCGGTGGTAGGGTGTTTCTAGCGCTAGCAAAGGGGTCTGAGCTGTTGTTGTTGCGGCTGGTCTACGCCGCAAATACTTCGTAGGCTGCTGCTGCATGCGCTATTATGTAGACGTATCTGCCTACGCACCTGCTTACGGTGCGGGAGGTCGCTTTCCTCGTCGCCCATAAGGTTCACCGCCTTCACCTTTTCTTCGGGAGATATCTTATTTGTGGCGAACCAGAAAGTAGTTGCGTGGGTTTGACAGTGGTGTTTTTGGGTTATCGTTGTTGCCGGGATACACAGTACACGCCACCGCTTGATGGGCCCGGGAGTTGAGAAAGTCAGGCCCGAACAGAGAATGAAAGGCCTTGACCATGTGAACATGCGCTCAATAAAAAAGAAACGCTGAAACCTATTTTGTCGATGTTGTGATGATAGCAGAGTGCGTAACAATAGAACCTCGTGCAAACAAAAAGGCTCTCAAGTTTAGTCATTTGCTTTGATTTTCCGATCACAGAACATCCCCAACCTTTCCTTGCACCCAGCTATACGGGAATTCGATTGATCGAGGTTCGCCGCATAAAACTTACTCATGCATCCCAGTACAAATTCATTGCAGTTGTGAGAGTTGGGAATTTCATCCGTTCCTGTGACACATCGGTGTTGCGCGGTTATGTCTCAGTCCTGCTGAGCAGAACGTCTTTATACCTCTACCCTCCACTAGCTCCCTTTCTCTGTCTTCTTCAGGCTTTCTTTCCAAACTAGATGTTCAAGCAAATCATTCCTGCCGTGATGACCGTAGCAATCAAGACCCACACTCTTTTACCTTGTTCCTGTCGAGAAGCATCAGCCCTTGCAGCCGGAAAATCACCCGGGCGCGGTAAGCTTCTAGGCGATCCATGGGGTTCCCCTCTAGAACGAGGGTATGCAGAAATTGGCACTCCTGCAAGTACTCGACCTGGCGCACTGCCGAAACTCTTTCGGTTCACCGAATCAGAAGTTAAACCAACAAAAACAAGGGGCCCGGGGAGGTTTTACTTTTGGCCTGAGCATACGCATACATACTTTGTAGCGAGTGGGAAGCGCTTTGCTCTGGGTCTTGTGAGCGCTTGTACATTATTAAGGGTAGGTGTGGAACTTCGAAGAAAACGGTTTGCCTTCCTCGTGGGGTATCGAAGGAAAGGAGCTGCGTTAAACACGTTAGTTTCTTTTCGACACCACTTGGCAATACCGTGTCGTTGTTTGCGGGTTGCGGTGTGGGTACTTCTCCACTCTGCTTGTGTGTGATTGATGTGGTGTCCGGTATTTCAGAATTGAATCGCTTTCGGAGAAGAAAATTGCACAAGTGTTGCTATGTGGTCTAGACTATGTCTTTCAAGACGTTTTTGTCGCGTTTTCGCATACTCGCGGTATTTGCTATTGGCTGACACTGGATGGAGTGAACCTCGGCGAATCAACCAAACTACAGCGATAAGCGTTTACCTCATGAGCATCTCTGTGTGCTTGTTGCTGCTTACTCACTTGTTGAACCGAACATCCAAGGTGACTAGCGAGAGGCAGGTCTTAAGGTTGGAGAGGTTTCCAATGTCGTTGAAGCCAAGTCGGAGGATGCGGAGGCTGGCTAGCTTGCCGGAGCCGACGTTTTCCGCCTTCTCTATGTAGTTGTGATCGAGGTGCAGCTCCACCAATGGTAACCCTTTGTTGGCATCATTAGTTTATGTGCGTACACGTTGGAGCAGTAGAGGGAGGATTAGCGGTGAGTGGTATAGGGTGGCTGGGACATTTTTTTTTTCTTGGGCCTCAGGGGAGGAGGATGTTTGTAGTCAAGCTGAGCTGGTGTAAACGACGGGTAGCTTCTAGAGCAGATAGGTGTTATCTCCACCCACAAAAGCAACAAGAATGGGCCTCTCTAAATACTGCACATGCACAATTCAACCATTAGTTTTTTCTTCCGCCCTTACCCTCGAGTCCCTCGATCCGGCGTATCTTGTTGTTGTTCATCCTCAAAGTTCGAAGACACTTGAGAGCTGATAGTCCCTCCAGCACTTCGATAGCATTGTGGCTTAGGTCGAGGTGCTGGAGGTTTCGATGGTGCGACAGATCTCTTAGGCTGTCGATGCTGCGGAGAAAACGAAATACGACCAAACAAGCAAGGAGATACTCGTGTGAAGAGTTAGCGCTGTAGTTCGACGTCCCGTCATCACCCAGACTGTTATAACCGAGCACCTATAATAGAACGACATGTTTTAGCGGCGTGCGTACTCGGGTGCGTCCTGTGCTCGCAAACAAGTTTCCAGCAAAGTTTAATCTCGGGGCGACGAAATGTTGCAGATTCCATGACCAACAGCAACTAACTTTGACGCAGCATTCGTTGCTTCACGCTGGTGATGTAGATGAGTTGTTTAAGGGGTTGATTCACGGTTGAAGGAAACAAGGCGTTGCGCTTTAGCTGTTCCATGTGTATGTCTGGTAGAAGTTGATTCTATAGTAGCAAAATCAATTCCTAGACAGGCTTCCCTATAAATCAAAGTTATTCTATACCTGCTGCTGCTACTTGTGGGAGGTGCTCACGCGACTGTACTGTATTCCTGGGGCACGATTCGGTGTCACTTGTGGCAATGGAAAACACTCCAGTGATATTCATGTGATCCACGGGTCTCGCCTGTTATACGACACGTTCACCCGGTGAAGCATGGACGACGAACGCACGACTTCAGATCTCCAGTCATGTAGCCAATCCTGGCTAGCCTTCCACGAAAAGTCCTCCCCTTCGAAGAGCTCATAGTCCAGCAAGCTTTTCATATTTGACATGGCACGATATGCGAAACGTCAGCGTGAAGTAACCCTTGGATAACATTGATTGGGGAACAGCAACACAACGACGGGTCGTCTGTGAAAGTGACCACGCGCGCAATCGAAGACGGATTAACTGGTCGACAACTGATGTAAACTAATTGGACGCTAACACTTCCGTTTGGCAATACTTCACGCCTAGGCTGTGAAAAAGATGTGTCGCATATCGCTTCCTTGGGTGTCTAGGGCAGCTGTAAGTCTACCCTTCCTTGTGTAGTCTAGTCTACGCACGCGTCTTTACCTTGTCAGGCAGTTGTGAGATATGTCGAGGTCGTGTAAGAAGGGCAGCCTCGACAGGGGCTTCGTGCTGGATATACAGTTTCCACTCAGATCCACCGTTTGGAGCAAAGGAAATTCGGCGATAGAGTTGATGTTGGAAACCCCTGCGTTCGCTGCCATCAATCCGATGTAACACAGACGCAAATCATGTGGGTTGCGTCCGAGGGTGTGAAGACCTTTTTTTATGTCTGCTCGATCAAGTGGTAGTCCTCCTGGTGACTTTCGGTTGAAGTCCTTCCTTGCTTTGTCCCCACGTATTCTTGCCTGAATCTTAGATGCCGCTGCCTGCTGCTCTCGGTAAAGTGCTGTTTCCTCGCGGCCTCTTGTACCTCGGCATGCAGCCTGGAATGAGACACACATGAAAAATATGTAGAAGTAAATGCAAAAGATCGAGTCGGCTCCAAAACAGCCAGCTGCCGGTAAAGTTGTAATTGTTGATTGGTCTTGGCCAGTACTAGCTCATTCGCCATTTAAGTACGAAATGGCGCGCTCACGCCCGAAGTCGGCAACCGGCATATTGTGGATATATCTGAGAAGAAGAACCCCCAGTCTCAAAATGTATACCTGTATCTTGATGACGGCTTGCTCCCTTTCCCATCGTGCCGTGGCTTCTCTGCGGACAAGGCTCCGTCTTCGTCGATCAGCAGAAAATCGAGCAAGTCGCCCTCGTTGCACTGCTTGTATCCGTGCTGCCGCTTGCCCTTCCATTTCGTCCATTGCAGCAGCGTGGGGGGGCGGAGAACACTTTGAAGTGCGCTTCCGTTGTCCCGTGCCGCCGGCGGCGCGATTACTGTTTCTGCCGAAACGGAACCTATTCCACCGCTTCAGGTTAACTTTTTCCGCACGGCCATTTCAAGTGTCAAGGTTGTAGGTGGTAGATTTTATACGCACATGCACACACACATGGATCAGAGTGCGAGAGGAGCAGCTAGTCGACTAGAGCGCTGAATACTTGTGGATTTGCTGCCCATACGGCAAGCTTTGATGAAGGCAACGGGACCGCCTCGGTACGAATACCGGCTTGGTTTCAGATATGTCAGCAGCAATGACAGCTCCGTAGTCGAAAGCGGGTTGTGCGGACAACGTGTTGCTTCATCGGACCGGATTCCGTGCTTGCGGCAAGACAGATGTTCTAGAACGAGCTATATCAATGAACCTCTCAGAACGAAGTCTGACAACACGCCGAATGCGGTAAGGGTGCGGAGGTAAAAGGCTACGTGGTCTGTACGGATTTACGTACACAGAATCCGTTGAGTTGTTGAGATCATCACGAGCATGTTTGCCACAGAAAGCTCATGCATCGCTTGGAGAGAGGAAGAGAGAGAGAGAGAGACATAGAGCAGGGACAGACTAGACCACCGTGCCCTTGTTGTTGTGCATCGAACGCCAACCTGAGGACCTCCTGGAATGGAAAATCGTCGGTAAAACGTGTACTACAGCAGGCCGCAGCAGCCCATGATGTCACTGGCCGAGATTTGGCAGCAATCCAGATACAGCGACATGTTCGAGGTTGGTGGGCTCGAGTCTGGGCGGTCAAGGTTATGCATGATCGAGCGTGGAGGGCACTTCTTCTCATACAGGTACGTACATATTACAGCAAGAGTCTAACCTGTCGTATCTGGAGCTGTTGCGTTTGTTATTGTTTCCTCTGCACCGTTTTTATAATAACACCGAAATTGTGGGGGGAAAATATAATTGATCGGTCTGACAGAGCATACTGAAAGCATGAACACGAGTTGCAAACGCCGACTTATCGATAAATTAAGATAAGGTTCATCCCCATCTGCGATTTTCTTATCCCCATCATGCCATTTAGATCTGTAGTTCTTTTGTGATACTCCTCGCGCTACAGTAGGTGCTTCGCATCGGAGACTGCAGGATGACATGAAGTCGTCCCCACAACTCTCCCACCGCTCTCCACCACTTTAAACCCACATTCAAGACCATCTCGTAGACAAGATCCAGCAATGGCAGCTGTACCAACTTGCGTGTCTGCGGTGTTCAATACAACTACATCTCTCTAGGCAATCTGGAGAGGGGCGCTAGCGCGGCACAAGCTTCTGCGGCAAGAAGGACCCAGTGATTCACCTCATGAAGAAGAAAATGAATACAGCAACACGTCCTTTCACATGAGTAAAAGACAGCGCTCGAAAGGCCCAAAACTCGCGACACCGTCGTTGGGCAGGATTTCCGAACAACAACCAAACAGGCGTTGTCCAGAACGAGCCGCTTGGGAACAATCCTGGGCAAGAGTGTGCCTTGAGCGACCGAGCTTTCGCGATCGAGTGCGCGTGTGGCAATCCATTGCGGAGCTCAAAAGGGCGGGCGGCCGGGGAAGGATGGGGATTACAAACAAAGAGGCCTGGTCCGCTTTGTGCCAATCGTCCGGGAGCGCGTCTGTCGCTGCTACCTTGCTTTCTAATGAGGAGTACCTGCTAGGAAGGCGGTTGCAACAGCAAGATGGACGGTGGCGGCTGGACGAAATACCGCCGTATTTGAGCCTGGATGGAGGTCCTGGTGTCAGTGCGGGCCCCCTCTTCCGACGTACCCTGCCGCCGTCAGTTGCGAGGCCATTCTCGGCTGGAGTGAGGCGTTTTGACCGACTACCAGTGATGGAGAAAGGGAAGAAAACGGGGTCTGGGTCGACTTCAGATACTGGCGTTTTCAAATGCGTTTCCAGCCTCTTTTACGATATTCCGAGGACCGCTGCGACAGCGACGACGCTACCGGCAGAAGGCTTGAGCAAGAACCATCAACAACGGTGCTTGTACAGTACCCAGTAATAATGTGGGGAAATGTGGAGTCAATACCCCCAAGTCTCGCGGGTCACCACTTACGAGCGAACGCTAGGTTGCGCTTTGCACTCCTATCGACCAACAAGACCGCACTGCTCTATGAGCAAGCAATCGTGATTAGTCTCGGCATAGTGGCATAGTTCCGTCGGAACAGTATATCCTCAAAATTTTACTAAGAGGAAGCTTCACGAAAATGGGGGTGCGCCGTCACTTTCATCAGGTGATCAGCGGGGGCGTAAACCACGGCGAGGGGGCTCCAATGAAAACCACAAGAGGGGCCCATAAAGTGCGTTCAAGTAATATTGTGGCTGTCTGTGTGACCAGTGTTATCGATTCTCTGCTTCTCTTGGTGCTCGAGCTCACGAACGCTCGCTTGCTTTTCGAACTGGGATTATTGACAGTCGTCCCAGTGATGTGCTGTACCGCAGTGTTAGGCCGTGGTTGTGACCGTGACATGGAAGTGCCCGCGTCGTGTGACGTACACCAAATATGATGATTTGGCGACTCTCTTTGATCGGAAAGCATCATCACCTGTTGCCTCTGATCCGTGCACAACGAACGCTGCAGGGTGCATCAAGAATTCAAGTACGCACAGATCCATTGTGCCTGTGCAAATATTCATCTCTCGTCTGTACCTTCCTGCTTGTAGCTTCCATGACAGCACCGTCGTCACGCACCATCCGGCATCATGGCTTCGGCACCGCCTTAGCAAGACAACGAGAACCTCTTAGACGATTAGCGCGCTTGCCTGAGGCAAGCTGCGTTGCCGATAAAACCACGAGGGGTTCACAAAAGGTGTTCAAGTTCAGAGAGGTGATGACGGGGCAACAACTACAGCAGAGACTAGCACTTTGCTGGTTGCATAGGAACAGGGTAATGACACGCATGCGCGAAGCTATGGTGTGTGTCTTGAGCTTGTAGAGAGGTTGTTTGGGCGCAGTCCGAGGAGCGTGCCGCTGGTGATGTGCAGCGTCGTCATACTTGATTGAAAGCCGCAAGAAGACTTATATTTCTTTTCTCAAGCTTACCAGATGAGAGTGGGCACTGGTGGGTTCCATTGTTACAAGTCACCAGGAGCATGCTGGTATGAGACAAACTTTATGTGCCATGGCGCCGCCGAAGCAAGGAAAAATGTTTGCCGTGATCGAGTAGACGCGCCACTCCCGGGCCATACTCTTCCCTGGGGGCTGCTCCGCGGTATCTTCTGAGGGTCTCGCGTCAGCTCCACTCCAGGTCGGATCCAAAACAACTCTCGTCGCTGCAGTTTTCACCGCCGCTGCGGTGCCCACCTCCTGTATTACCCTTGCCTGCCGCTGTCGCAAGCGTCTCCCCAGCTGACCTTCGCCACGTCGTCATACAGCGCAAATAACCGGCTCGGGTCGAAGGGGCGAGTTAGTGGCACTATAAGAGTCCTCAGTCCTCAGCTGTCGTTGCAGTCCTTGCTGCAGCTGCTGAGCGTGTCACTACCGCTGCCGCTGGCCTCCGGAACCACCCCGCACTCTGTTTCCTCCCCATCTCCGATGTCGGTGACAGCTTCCTCCCCCGCTGTCGCTCTTGGTTCTCCAGCACCTGTCGAGGGCGTACTGGCCGCCCCCCTAACCGAAACAGGGGGGAACCGCTACCGCCGGGCCCGCGGACGCCGCTGGGGTCCATGTTGCGTTCCCCCTTCAACTGCCAATCAATACAATTCGGCTACCGGACGCCAACGCAGCACGCAAAGCTTTCCGGAGGCCGCAGCCGCCATATATGCGACTTGATTTGCCCACATGGCGTGTTCCGCACGTTCGGCGACTCTACTGTTGCTACTACCTCTCCCGCGGGTGCATGTAGCGGGAGTTCACCTGAGAAACCATAAAAGGCGCAAAGATGGCAGCGGGTGTGATCGTTTTGTCTAATGTTTTTTACAAAAAGTACCAGGCACTACGCAGCAGTACAATAGATTTCCTTGTACTGTAGTGTAAGGTGGGGTATGTTTCGGCTTGTATGTTGTGTGCTTGGTCGAGTGTACGGTCGGCAACTTCCATACCACTTCAGTGACAACAACTTGAGTGACAACAACTTGAGTGACAACAACTGACATCCCGCGTGAACCGCGACCGTACATAAATAATATAAGTAAAGGAGTGGGGATCCGCTCCGTACACATAAAATGGCACTCCGCTGAAACCGGCCCTACGCGTTAAAGGTACGCATATGCACCTCTTTCCGGCAGGTCAAAAATATCTCAATCGGGAATCGAATTGAATCATGCCGTTCTTGTTTTTTTTTGCGCGCACCCGGTGCCATCTCCCGGACCGGTGCCATCTCCGCCTCTCTCTACGGTTTTATCCCTCCCTCCCTTGGCAACCCTTGGTACATTTTTTAAATTATCTACTAACCACACCACAGAGCAGTCAAATTGACATGTGAGGGAGATCTGGAGGGGTCAGCACTGGATTGCGAGTGACGCTGTGGATGAATTGTGAGCAGAGGACGAGAGGGCACACACCGACCGGGAGCCCGGGATTTTCACTTTGTTCCTTTCGGTGTATCCATCAAGATCCACAGCGTCACACCGAATAATTTAAATCTTCTCTTGCCGACTGATGCGTATGCAGTTCCCTCCCCCATATGACTATTCTTTGGCGCCGCTCGGTGTCTGGCCAACCAAGCAGACTTATACTTTGCTATCTGCTCTGCATGATGGGATCACGGTGTCATGGGATCACGGTATCACCCGCCGGCAGTGGCAGGCACATGTCACTGCATGTAGGATCAGTCAGCTGTTTGGTTTGAGTCTGTACCTCAGCTTCCATTCTGCGGACCCCCTACATTAATTCAAGCATTTTTGCACGGAGGCGTCTCTCAACTACCTTTCTAAATTTTCGACACGGGAGCAGCAGGAGCGGGGAGAGGGGAGGCTAAGGAGGAGCGTAGAGAAGAAGGGAGAGGTGGGACTGCGACCCACACCACTCTCCTCCCGCACACGCCATAGCCTGGCAACAATCACCGACGCGCCTCCGCGTCGCTCCTCCGTTAAATCATTTAGCCTTTGTTTTTGGAAGCGCGGCGGGGGCAGACCAAGAGGGCTCCAAAAACGTATTTGCCGGCAGCACCTTGCAAGAGAGAGCAGGCAGCAGGTGATGGCAAGCCGACCCACATCTCCCCCTCTCAGCACCTCCCCCTCGCTCGGGCAGCCTATCACCTCGGGAGCGAGCAATACACACTCGCTTCAGCAGCAAACGCCGCTGCACGCAACATCATCAGCAGGAGGTTCGACGATGATGAGGAGAGAGGTAGCGCCGAGGAGAGCGTCTGCGCCTTGTGACGGGGAGAACATGGCAACGGCTGTTGCTCGCGCGGAAGGCACCCGAAAGGTGAGAACAGATATTCCACTTTTCGGACGCGAGTGGTAGTGGGAGTAGGGGGTGGCTTGTTGCTTCGATAGCCAGCATCGCTTTTAGACCAAGCTGTGCCTTGGGAGGGCCTTCACACGTTTTTTTTTCAAAAAGACTTCCAACAGAAATGGGTCCGAAATCCCGAGTCAGCAAGCAGGCACACACCGCGGTGTTGTCGTTCTACAAGCAGCAGTCTCTCGTCTTGAGTCTCAGTACACATATACAGCTCGTAGATGTCCGAACGCCGCTTGCTGACGACGCACGTATCCACTGGACGCGAAACGTCAGCGCATTCTATGGTCGTGTGGTCCAAGTTTGCTCTCCAGAGAGCAGAGAGCGCACACACAAGCTCGCACACGCTCGCGCGCATCTTGCATGTGTAGTTCCTTTTTGTTCTCGTCGCGCGTGCGTACAAAGTATTATCCGCTATACGTCTCACCATCTCGTCATGTCATGAACTTCAAACGAAGGGTCTCTTCCTCAAGAAAATAATGGCGGATGTTTTTCCTGTGTACTTTTGTTATGTTCGTCCCTGAGCACGTTGCGGCAAAACGCATGCTCGGGCGGAACGCTGCTGTCTCGTGCCGCGTCCGGTGCTGTTGAGCGACTCTTGGCCAATATCAGATACTTTCAAGTATTTCAGCAAAAGTAGGCCACGGTTTTTGTCAGTGTAGGGTGGAAGCACCCAGAAATGCCAAAATGCTTTTGTAATAGTTCACCCGTCCCATGGTGTGCGTCCTGCGCCTACGGTTTACCTCTATCAGTAGTACTGCTGTAGACGTCATCGAGCATAGTGCGCCACTCTTGAATTTTGGACTTCATCTTCCCCCATGGGCCGAAGGATCTGGGGTGCTTTTCACTGCGCATCAACCAATATAGTGTGCTGCGCACAGCAGCATCAGATGCGGCCTAACAAAGTACCACTCAGTGTAGCAAGGATGTTGGGGCTGTACCTATCCAAGGGTTCGCAGAAGTGGCGACCTCCGCGCCAAGTGACTAAATAAAGAAGTGGCGGTACCCTTTGTCTGTGGTCATGGACTTCCGCGTCAGGTGGAACATTAAGGGCATTTAGAAGGTACACTAACCAGAAAGAAACCGGAGAGGCTTTTGAAGTGAAAATACCAGAGTGGAGACTTGCGGACGAGCTTCACGTGTGTACCAGATATTATCCACCGATCGGTGACTCTCTATGCTGTATGCATGCTATGTACAGTAGCAACGTAGCGCTGAACCAGCCAAGATGGCAAGACTGCAGCAAGACTACAAACAGGGTCATTTCCCTATCCGGCCACAGCATACGAAAAAACTTGCCATGTAGTGACGTTGCCTTGCCACCTGCTGGTTGTCTGTTGCTTTGATGTCAAGCTGGGGTTTTGTTTCTTTCCTGTTGTCTCACGAGTCTGTCTGCCGCCGTAAGGTGCAGAGAGCTTATGTCTCGACAACGTCGTGAAAGCCGAAGCTCCCACGTGAGCAGACTTTTGGCCACTGTCACTACAGCCGGTGATAATATTGTGGAATGTACGTAGGATATATGGATACCCTGCTGCACCGTGCCTGCGTGTGTTGGTGTTGCAAGCGACCCTATTCATCAGCCCGCGGCGTAATGTGCTGACCAATGAGAACACACCTATCGTATCTGCGTTTGATCGGTGCCGTAACACCCTCCCCCTGTCTGGCTGTGTTTCGACGGATGTTATGCACACCCGCCCGCCATTCCCTAGGGTCGCTTCCAAATACGCGAGGTTCGGGCAAGCATAGCGGAAGGCGTGCAATCATCTGCTTGTCGCGCCGCTTTGAGCCTCCAGGAGGATGCCGAGCACGCAATCGCTATTGTACAGGATGGGAAGCTCGTTCCGTGAGTATTGCTGTTGTTTAATCTCACGTCGTTGGCGTGTTTTTTTTTTCTATCGGTGTAGCATGCATTTGAGACGGCCAGTGCTGGATGCACGCACAACGTTTTCCAGTTGGTGCGGGTGCTGCCGCTGTGGTCCTGGAAGCATCTAGGCGCTACGAAAATTTGTTGGTTGATAATGTTTGCTGTGCCTTGGCTCGACAAAGCTTTGCCCGTGGTGGCGTTTTCATTTTTTTCTCGGCCTAACCCTTGTGCTGTTTCGCGTGTTCGTGCGAGTTCGTGTGCCGAACGTCGGCTACCTGCCTGTGGACACGATGCCGTTGTCCGTGCTCTTTTGTGTGCCAAGCAACAATACACCATTTGTCGAGGATCGAGTTCAAAACTGGAGCACCCCCACCGTCCGTAAATATCATTTGTGAACACCTTGAGAGAGTTGTTTCGCTTGCTCTCTGATCTTTCTCCGCTCTTCGCACCCCCCCTATTTGTGTCGGCGCCTGTGTCGCCTTTGTCTGTTCTCTCTTGTCATCTTCTCTCTGTCTCACCCGTGCACCCTTTCGGTGCTCTGCAGGTCCCCGTTGTCCACCCCGCGCGCGAGAACGCGCACCCAGACCGAGGGCGACGCGATACAACAAGCAACGGCCGTGAGCGACGGAAACATACAGGCCGTCGCGAACGCGGTCGCCGCGGCGGCCGTGGCGGCGGCGGT